AAATCCTTACGGGAGTAGAAAGCCTCATCTTTCTCCCGCGGAGCGGCTGGTAGTTTCGAACCGCTGACCTTAAGGTTCGCAGCCCGATTCGTATAGGCGTCCCTTATTGCCTGTAATGTGTAGTATGTTTGGTTAGATCTTGTCTACGTGGTGGCCACAGCGTGCCGGGCGACCGTCGTGCGGGGTCCTTGGTGTTGGCTCTGGGTCCGGTGGGCGGGGCGGGGGTCACCCAGGGTCCGGCGGGCAGGGCGGGTGTCGTGGGGGGTTGTCCAGTGGTTGGGACGTTGGGGGCGTGGATCAACGGGGGAGTGCGGCGGGCGAGCGCGTTTCAATCGCATGGGGTGGAGGCTGTTCCGCCGGGCGGGTGGAGTCCGCATCTGATGACCTCAGACAGTAGCCGTATTTCTCCTCTCTGTGTCCTGTGTAAACTGATTTTCTTGCCACTGCACCCGCTGAGATTCCACGCTAGGGTAGAGATCCGTCTTTTTTTTCCTTTTTGTCTCTTGCAGCTCCGTTTGTTCAAGATTCCTCTTTCCTGGAGGTGCTGCTCTCAGCCCGCACTGGTTCCAGCCCCGCCCTCCAAGCTCTATAGGGGGCTGGGCTGTTGCACGCAGAGGCTGGCGAAAATTCAAAAAGCCAGTAATTTCTCAGTAATGTGATTTTTTTTTTTTTTTTTTTTTTTTTAAAGCGAGTTCTGAAGGTTGAAGCAATAAGACTTATAATGGTTGTAAGGGTGTGGGTCCGCCACAGGACGGTTTCCTTCGTAAGGTCTCCATCCCATGTCCTTGGAGCTCCCCTTAACCCGTGTAGTCTGGCCACTGTGGCAAACTGGAAGTCCTACCCTGTTATATTTTGATGGCTGGAACTGTGGTTGTCTTGTCAGGACCAGACCAAATTATTTCATGGATGGTCCGCACCCCTGCCTTAACCCAACATCTCCAACAATTAGAAAAAGAGCAGCAAAGTAAGCCTACTGCCACCGGAAGAAAAGAAATTAATTATAAATGAAATAGAAAATAGAAAAACAATAGAAAGAAATAACAAGACAAGAAGTTGGTTCTTTAAAAGGATTAATAAAATCAAGACACCATTGGCAAATCTAAAAAAGGGAAGGTACAAATAACACGAAAGAACGATATGGATGACGTCACCAGAACCAATGGAAATAAAAAGGATAATAAAATAATACTATGAAGAATTGTACTTCGACAAATTTGAAAACCTAGAAGTGGGCAAATTTCTTGGAAACCCTCTGGGGACAGTACTACTCTTACAGGTCACTATAATGGGAATTGGAGTCCTAGTGTGACTCTGTATAATAAACACTAGACCACAAGGTCAGTTTGAACTTCAAGGTCGACGGTTCGAACTCACCAGCTACTCCTTGGAAACCCTACACAGGGTTGCTATGATTCGGAACCAACTTGAAGGCACATAGCAGCAACAAAATAATGGAAATTGACTCAGTGGCAGTGGATTTGATTGGACCTACTGCATATTAGTCTCTGTATTATTGTTTAACCATTCTTGTCATTTCATAAGTGATATCATATAATAGTTGCCCTTTTGTGGTTGATACATTTCACTCAACATAATGTCCTACAGGTTCATCCATAGTGCAAGAAGATTTGGGAATTATTTTTTCTTTCAAGACGAGTTGTTAAGTGCCATTTAGTCCGTTCAGTCACATAGCGACCCTGTATAGGGTTTCTGAGGAACAGCTGGTGAGCTTGAACCATAATAGTATTCCATTATATGTATGTACCACATTTTGTTTATCCATTCTTCTGTTTATGGACATTTAAGTTGTTTCCATCTTTTTTCCATTTCTCTCTATTACCTAAGCTGTTTCCATCATTTTGCTATTGTGAATAGTGTTGCAGTGAACATATGTGTGCACACATGTCTGTTCATGTCCCGTCTATTAGATTCCTAGGATATATACCTAGGAATGGAATTGCTGGGTTATACGGCAGGAGCTCTGATAGCGTAGTGGTTATGAACCGGGCTGCGAACCACAAGGTCAGTTGTTCTGCAGGAGAAAGATGAGGCTTTCTGCTCCTGTAAAGATTTACAGTCTCAGAAACCCTGTACAGGGTCACTATGAGTTGGAACCAACTCCAAGACACATAACAACAACAACAACAAAAACATGGCAGTTCTATTTTGAGTTTTCTTAGGTGTTACCATACTGTTTTCCCCAGCAATTGTACCATTTTACATTCCCACCAGCCATAGATAGATGTAAGTGTATGATTTAGTGTGCAGTTGAATTAATAATGTATAACCACTTCCCATGAGGATGAGGCCAACATTTACTTAATACCAGCCCACATTTCCTTAAATCATTAGGTCTAGATGTACCAGGGAGTTTCATAAAGATTATGGAAAATTGGATAAAGTTTCCCCCTCATATGTTAGAATTTGGAATTTCTTTTGAACTTAAAAAGATATGCTGCATACATTGCTTATGGAAATCCTTTTCTAAGTAGACTTGTCCTTGTTTGTTGTTAAGTGCTGTGTAGTTGGTTCTGATTCATGGAAACCCTGTATAGGGCTACTGAGGAGTGACTGGTGGGTTTTAACAGCTGCCTTTGTGTTTAGCAGTCCAGTGCTTATCTCTTATAGCATCACACCAGGACCCCATTCTACAGATGTTGGTCTTGTTAAATGCCATGGAGTCAGTTTTCACTCATGTTGATGATGGTTGTTGATTAGCTCCCTGGAGTTGAGTCCAACTCATAGTGACTCTATATGTATGTCTAGGGTTTCTAAGGAGCAGCTGGTGGATTTGAACTATAAGCCTTATAGTTAGCACTCCAGTGCTTATTCTACAGCACCACACCAGGACTCCATAAATGTTACTAATTATCAATGTTATTCTTGTATTCATTAAAGCAGGCCCAATCTCCACTGACTCAGTTACTTTATGATCAGTCAAGGGCAAAATAGGAGGGGTGGTTTTACAGGGACTGATTTTAAGTTTGTATATATTGCATTTATTACATTCATGCAATATCTAGGGGATGTCTATGTAAGTGGTTGGACATTTATAGTTTTGGAGCTCAGGCAGCATATGATAAATTTTAGCATATGACAAACAAGTTGTGTGACAGGGAGGAGAGGAAGAGAAGAAAGGAAGGAGCAAGTAAATTTTATATATTTGGAGTATGTAGATTGGGGCAGTTTTTCCTACATACGTTGGGCTCTCCATTTTCGTTAAGAAAATGATGCAATAATAATAATTAAAAAATTAGAATCTTGCTAGTTGACAATATGAGTAAATATAAATAATACTTATATCATTTACTGTAAGATTATGTGTTTCAGTGTCTCCGTTAATTTTTAAAAATTAGGATTCATGTTGCTTTCACCTGAAATAAAGCCTAATGCTTATATAGAAAACCTGGTTTTATGGAAATAGTGATTGGCCTGTTTATTAGAATAAAAAGATGGGATAAGAAGAATAAAGATGAAATTAAAGATAATTCCAAACCATGGTCATAAAGTTACACATAATAGATTCATTGTAAAATTGTTAATACCACCAGAGTTTAGTAAAATATTTGCTGGTCTATAGATGTATCTGAAGACATAAAAATAGAAGGAATGCCAAATAATACTATACAACACAGCACACATCTATGATGATGAAAGTAATCACATAGCTATTATTATAAAATATTCTTTGAGTGTTTTGTCAGCTGAGGTTCCCGTCACTACTGTCAAATACACATACACACACACACATTAAAAAGCAAAGCCTTGGAGCGAACAAACAAGATGGCGGATCGGGTGGACGTATAGCAGA